TAGCACTAGCACTAGCACACTAGCACTAGCACTAGCACTAGCACTAGCACTAGCACACTAGCACACTAGCACACTAGCACACTAGCACTAGCACACTAGCACACTAGCACTAGCACACTAGCACTAGCACTAGCACTAGCACACTAGCACTAGCCGTAGCCGTAGCAATTATTGATAAGTATTATTGACACACTTTGACGTATTTAGGAAGCAGGCTTCCATCACATTCATCGTGATTACATGGCAGTGCGACCACACTGTGTATTTGACTTCATCATTCCTCATCACAACTCGTCCAAAGAAACTCGCTTGCGCGGAGAATTCTGCATCCCCGAGCATTTAACTGGTGGGGCAGCGGTTGGTGACTATGACAACGATGGACTTCAGGACATCTACTTTACATTATTCCATAAGACAAGTGTTCTATATCGAAACAACGGTATGGTCTGATCACCATCTCTTTGTTTTCGTTTTGTTTTTGTTTTTTTTGTCTTTGTTTTTGTTTGTTTGTTTTTTTGGTTTTGTTTGTTTGCTTTTTTTGTTCTGTTTTGTTTTTGTTTTTGTTTTGTTTTGTTCGTTTTTTGTTTGTTTTCCTTTTGGTTTTTTTTTTCATTATTAATAAGTTTAATTTCTTGAAGATGTTACCGAGAAATAACATATATAGAAGAAGAAGGGTGCAGAACACGGGGAAATAGAATGTTCAGTTATTGCTCTTTGAATTCGCTAATACGGGTTAATATTGAGGGCGCTGGAAGAACAGATATCCCGTATTGATGAGTCAAATCGCAATACGTTTTGTATCGCGACTCTCCTATCGCAAGATAATTCTGAGCCAACAATACGGGTTTTTTCAAATTTATAGGAGAATAGATATACAAAGAGGAATCAAAAGTTCTGCTTTTGGTAATCAGGTATAGAAACAGCGAATTGCCTCTCTTTGTACAGGTGATGGAACGTTCACTGACGTCACCAAGGATGTAGGTCTCGGTCCCAGTCGCTGCGCGAGTGGTGCAGGATGGATTGACGTTGATGAAGATGGTGATTTAGACTTGTATGTAACTACAGTGGGCGACAGTAGACACTATCTCTACATCAACTATGGTGGTTTCTTTGTTGAAGAAGCTGAAAAAAGGAATTGTTCCTTGGTTTTTCCAAACAAAAGAAAACTTGCTGGCATGACCCCGAACTTTGGAGACTTTGACAGGGATGGCTTCCTTGATATCTATGTCACAGAGTGGATTCTACACACAGTAGGAAAGGTGGGATAATTTGCGCTGGTCGATTCTACTAGCCATATCAAGGGCGGATCCAGGAGGGGGGGCAAAGGGGGGCTGAAGCCCCCTCCCCTTCAGCAAAAAAAAACGATGCTTTTTTATATTGTTTTCCGTTGTGTTGACGGAAGAAACTCAATTAGCCCCCCCCCCCCCCTAAGATTTTTGCTGGATCTGCCCTTGCATATTTATTGGGTTTTTAGCTTCTGATAAAAACCCCTTTTTGTTCTTACAGCCCTCCGCATCCCGTCTATTGAGGAATAAAGGATTTGTTAAAGCTGGGTAAGTTTTGTGTTTGGTCGATGGTCGTCATGCATCTCAAATAAATAATCAAGAATGCGTCTATCCTTTTTGTAGCTATTTTGAAGATATAACCGATCAAGTTGGGCTAAATATGGATGGATATCGAGGTGGATCTTCTCTCAACCGTGGAACTCACACATTTGGAGCCTCATTCACGGTATTACCAACTATACCTTCATTTTTGATTATTTCATCCAACATAACAATTCAGTTTTTAGGGAGGAAATAATCGGTTGTTGTGCATCCTGCCATGGCTGCCATCACATGATGGCACAAAGCCTGTATAGCCGTCTCATGTGCAAACATTAAGCAAAGAAATAGTGCTGTAGGGAATGACACGTGGTACACATGGCTTGGGCTTCATAGGGGAGGGTCATCAGCAAAACGTTTTGAAGGGTCAAACCTTTTTACTTTGACGGCAGCTGTTTCCTTTTAGGACCGTAGCTACTATGAGGCAAACGAGGCAGTTGCATTGGTAAAATGTCACAAATGCGCCTAAATATCGCAATTTCAAATTTTCCCGGGAAGGCATGCCCCCTAACCGTCCCAGTTTCTTCCGTGTGGCTACGGCCTTGCCTTGTTGACTTAATTGTAGGGTCATGAATTCCTTACTGAGAGAAATGGGGGGAGGCTAAAACTATACACTCGCTGACTCACGAGATGAAAATGGAGCATGCGCACGAGGCGGGTCTCGGGGCGAAGCGAACGGGGCTATAAGAGAAACTTTGAGAAAGATCAAATAAGTCTGTAATCATTAATCAGGGAACTCAGCGATCTTGCGATGTTTATTTTATAGAACTATTAAATCCCAAAAATCCAGGATAAAAACAGAATATACGACTGAATTTCAACAGACAGCGATTCTGAACCGACAATACGGCTCTTTTCCCATCAAACTTATTGGAGTATCGTGATAATCGTCAAAATGGTATAAAAAAATGAGAATTTTTATGCTCATAATAGGATTTTGACGAAGATGGCTGGCCGGAATTACTAGTCACGGCAGATTATGGCGACAGTAAAATGTTCTGGAATAAAAATGGGAAGAGCTTCGTCGAGTGCACAGAAAAATGTGGCTTGAGAGGAGAACAGGTTTGTCCAGTTGTCCACAGGTTTTGCAATAATGACGCAGGTATCCCACATGCTAATGTTTTACTTTCTTGTTGTTAACCATGACAGGATGCAATGGGTCATGCTATTGGAGACTGGGATAATGACAGCCATCTTGATTGGTTCTCTACAGCTATTTTCCATAACCAAACAGATTGTTCTATTACTGGATGTGTCTTTGGTAGTGGTGGTAACAGGCTGTATCGAAACCATGGCAACCGAAGGTTCGATGACGCCACCGATAAGGTATGATTATCAAACCAAATACATTAAAATATGAAAATTGTATGTAATCAAAGTCAGTGAGAGAGTGAAATTTTAAAACAGGCAGCAAAGCAAGACCCATGTCGACGTCACCTGTATATGGATTTTATTGTTGTGCTAAGCATATCTAGTACACATGTTAATTAACATTGTGATCGATTTTTAGGCCGGTGTTCGAAATGGTGGATGGGGATGGGGAGCTGCTTTCATTGACTTCAATAACGATGGATATCTAGACGTAGTCATGACCAACGGTAATGAATATATACACACCTATTTTGAAAATGCTTGTCGGAGTCAAAGGACCAGAATGCGATAGGCGATAATAGGCTCCGACATCTTTTCTTTGAATAGGAGTCGACTTTCCCTCGACCACAACGGATGACCATTTCCAGAAGCAAAGTATGATTCTCTGGCAAAACCTTGGTCCAGGGTACAATGGATCAACAAAAGAGGTTTGTTTAGTTACTGGCGTATAAGGGAAGAACCCCTCCTCCTCTCTCCTCCCTCCTCCTTCCTCCTTCCTCCTCCCTCCTCCCTCCTTCCCCCTCCTCCCTCCTCCCTCCTTCCTCCTTCCTCTGTATCGCGCTCAGAAAACGTTATGATGCTGTATTAATGCGACAAAAATAACCATGCATTCAGATTGATGATATGAGTGTTCGGGCTTTCAGGTATCAAATGCAGTTGGTTTAAATGCTACTGGTCAAGGGAGAGGTCTGCTGAAGTTCGACTTTGACGGTGAGAGAATATTCAGTCAGTTTACAGTACAAATACCGAGTGTATGAACTTTTCTATGTTTTAAAATGGATTTAAACAACTTGATCTGAGGGAACAGTCCGCTCTAGAATGTAAACATTTGAGAAAAGTTTATTTCCCATGATTGAAAATAAACAACGATCGAGGGTTGTATACAGCTATTCCAGAAAAGGTTGGTGAAGGTTTTGTGGCATGTTGCATGTGGCATGTTGCATGTGGCATGTTGCATGTTGCATGTTGCATGTGGCATGTGGCATGTTGCATGTGGCATGTGGCATGTGGCATGTTGCATGTGGCATGTTGCATGTGGCATGTTGCATGTGGCATGTTGCATGTGGCATACCAATCCCGAACTGCACTATGGGCGAGGTGAATATAATCTGCGAAGGGTCACAACATATGAAATTTCCCTAAACCTTGTCTACTTGTAAGGTATGACATATTGGTTTTGATTAAAATAGACGTTCGAATTTTTCAGACGATGGTGATGAGGATGTTGTAGTTTGCAACAACCTTGGTCCCCCTCAGCTGTATGACAACAAGGGTGGTAACAAGCGAAACTGGCTCAAAGTCCGTGTTGTACACAAGTAAGAGAAAATAGTTCTTTTGTTGCAAGAATTGGCTTTAGAACTTTATTCTTAAGGGTTTCTTTGTAGGTTGTTCTCATTATTATAGATAAACTGCTTCAACAACCATAATATCATAAATTTAATAACTGAGCTTTCGGGCTGAGTTCCCCATCATCATGGTACAATGTTTGCAGCGACGTTCGTCAGTTTGTTTTGTAATTTCAAAGTTGTTGAAGCAGTTCATCTATAACTTTATCCTTGTCTATTCTGATTTACGTAAAGTACCTCCCTTCCTGATAATCGACCCCCAGAGGGGGAGGGAAAGTACATTTTGTTTTGTCCTGTCTGTCCTAATTTTTGTGCTTTTACATAAAACTTCAGTTCAAATCTTGTTTAATCCCTTACTCACGAGTATTATTTCTATGCCTTTTTCCAGCTGTTTGACATTCAGTGATAAACTCTGTGATAGTTACGGTGCTCGTGTACAGGTCTTGACGTCCAGCAACCATATACAGGTAGGAAATACTACTTTGAAGAAATACTACGAGGGATGATGATTTTCTGGAATGGGTGTGCTGCTTCATGATGGTCCTTATTGTATGCTTTTACCCCTTGCATTTAATAATTTTCTTTGCAACTTGCGTTCGACACAAGTTGCAAGAGTGTCTACACGGTGCAACGGAGACGTAATCGTTGCCAAAACGTCGAATTCTACTTTTCGTAACAATTGGTGCGACTTGTCTTGCAAATTCTTTTTGAATTGCGCTGTAGGTTACACGCTGCAAACGCCATTGCGAGACAAGTTGCAAAGAAAATTGCTTCGTGTAATCGCGCCTTAACGTGATTACATACTTATAACGATTTTTTGACCTTCAGACGAAGGAGGTTGGTTCAGACACTCATTTTCTAGGTCAGAGTGAAATAACAACGCACTTTGGTTTGGGCTCAGAAAGTGGCAATGTCGATGTTAAAGTCACGTGGCCTGGTGGGTTATTCGAAGTGACCGTTACAGATGTACAGCCCAACAGAAGGATCAGAGTTATGAAACCAAGGTTAGTCAGTGCGGCCTAACATTTACGGTAATATTCATTAGTAAAAATACACAGGTGATTTTTGAAAATCTCGCGCGCTGATTGGTCGAGAAACTCACACTATCACACCACAGGCTAACCACTCTAATAAATGAAGGAAATACTAAATGGTGTCTTGTCTTTGTCTTTTTATGCGCGCGCGCTATCGATTTTTTGTCATCTCACCTACCCCCCTTGGTAACAATTTTGTTTTTCTACTATACAATATACTAACAAGGTTAGTATATTGTATAGTAGAAAAACAAAATTGTTACCAAGGGGGGTAGGTGAGATGACAAAAAATCGATAGCGCGCGCGCATAAAAAGACAAAGACAAGACACCATTTAGTATTTCCTTCATTTATTAGAGTGGTTAGCCTGTGATCACACGATAATCACCTCCAGCGATAATCCAAAATGGCGGCCAGCCGCTTTGTTGTAGTTACCGGAGAGGAATTAGAAATAATGAAAGAAAATGCTGTCCCCAAAAGGACTAAAGAGGCTGACAAATTTGCACTAACTTTGTTCAAAGGTAAAAAAGGACTTAAAACAATCAAATAAGCTCAAACAAACTGTTTTGATTGGCAAAGTCGGTGAGTTCGCCTGTGTTGTAATTGAAAGCCGCGTTTGTCACTTCAATTAAAATTTTTCCTAATTTTAAATGTGTCTTTTATCTTCTTTTTTTCTTTTTTTGAAAGAATCCCCTTTGTATTTATACTAAAACAATTATTTGCCTTAGCCTCAGTGAATATCGGAGAATATTTACTTCGCCTTCGGTGAATAATTGTTAGATATACGCAATGACATGTTTCGTTCATTCATTTTTTTAGTCTTTTTTATTTGCATTTTGTAGTCTACAGCTTGGTGGCAAACAATCTACTTCTTTCAAGAACTTAACCGTATGTTCAACACTAAGGATAATTGCCATTGAAAAGCAGGTACATCTTAAATGTATTATCAAGCTAATATTATCCCATCAATCTTTAGAGAACCCTACCTTACCTTGATTGATTGGGCGTATACATCCTTTTGAAAATGGATCTTTTTCCTTTATGGATTAGCCTTCCGTCCAGTGAATACGCCACTTGAAAACGCAACTTTTCAAAAACGGATGACGTGTGGACGTGCAAAAACGATTCATAAATGCTACGTGTGAAGTTTTGAAAATGAGATTAATAAGTTATTCCGTTCGAGAATATCCAAATACGTATGGACGGGATAGGACCTAAATGTACTCGAAATCAGTGTGTTTAACATGTGCTGTAGGTTCCCAGAAACTAACCAGTGGACAGAAACACCCCCATTACACTTGAACCGTCAACATGTCAAGTTTTTTCAGGTTTTTATTTCCTGAACGTTTTATTTTCAATATATTTAGCTTTTTACCCGTGAAGGCAACTAGGGACACCACAACAGCTCTCTCACTACTTACCGTGGGCCCTGTAGTGTAAACACGGACAGCACGGACACTAAAGATAGTCGGCACCAGCGTCTCCAGTGGGTCTTTTATGCATCCGCTTTATACAGGGTTATATAGAGAAGACAAACGGGGCCTACGGTTTTATGTCCTTATCCGAAAAAAAGTTGAAGGTCAAACCGTTTGCAGATGTTATTGCAAAGTTAGCACCTTCTCCTCAGTATTTTAAGACCCTGAGCGTTGGTCCAGCCGGGACTCGAACAACGACCTCCCGCACAACAGACCGACGCTGTTACCAACGGAGCTTAGTACCGGGCGGCGGTTCCACTGTTCCAAAACCCTCTATATAAGATGAATCATTGAGTTCAAATACACCGAGTGATTAAAAGAAAACTTATTGATTGGCTCAAGCGCTTTTTTACAGTATGCATCTAAAAGGTTTTTGTCATTCTTAGTTTTGCTATGTAGTAAAATACTTTTGAACATTCTCATCCACAGCCATCTCATGCCACAGTCGTCATCAACCCAGACGGAAGATCTGTTTCTTTTAAAATCGATGAAGGTGTTAACATGCGCAGTCTCAATATGGAGACTTTCGTCTATCGAGTAGCACTAGTACAGGGTGATAATACTACCCTGCTTAATACTACCACCACGGCATTTGTTGTGTTTCATTATAACGATAGTGATGGAGGATCAAACAGTGGAGAATGTGTTAATGGTAGACATGCTGGCTCGAAACCAACACCAACCAATAAAAGGTTAAATATCGTTCGTTAGTTTCTTTTTCTGGAAAAAGAAAACAATGTAGTTTTAAATGTTCACATTTGAAGAGAACATAACATTACCTACATACAGTTCCACCAACGTTGAAGCTGTTGCGAACTGCATGTACAAATCAGAGATATTGGGCATTTAACCTACAAAAATCCCTTTACAGTATCTTATATTTTTTACTGGTTCTAATAACGTTTACTAGTATTTTGTACTTTCTGATAATGTCACCAAAATCCTAAAGTCCTTGAAATATTATTGTAATGTCATCACTTTGGTATTCTATAAGTAATTAGCATATACCAACTTGTGTACTTCCTAAGAACGCGCGCGCTCATTGGTTAATTGGAGGTGAATATTGTACGATATTCACCTCTGAATCTCGGAATATTGAGTCGGCAACAAAATGGCATCTGCCGGCAATCGTTTTGCTACAATTTTCGATGAGGAAATTGAAAAAATGAAAGTAAATGCCATTCCTATCAATATTAAAAAGGCAATGAAGTATGGCATAAAAATTTTGCTAAAAGTTTTGCGTGAATTTGTCACGCAAAATAAAAGTTTCTGTTTGTTTGTTTTCATTGAATTATTGTATATAAAAATAAGTTACTCTGTACACAAGTTGGTATATGCTAAAACAATTATTTGCCTTCGGCGAATAATTGGTAAATACAAACTCGAATGCGATTGATTGGATACTATGCGTAGCAGAAGGCCCTTTATTCATGGGCGGATTTGGAAGGGGGGGAGACAAGGCCGTATCTAGGTCTCCGCGAGCCTGTATCTTATACACCTCTTTCATTTTCAAACCAGGCGTTTTGATGGCATTTCAAATAACCAAAAAAATGTCTTCTGGGGTGCAAATATGGAAGACCTAACACGTGACATTCCTGCAGCCTATGAGGACAAGCTTGCTTCTCTGTCAGGTACATGCACCATTCAGCAGAGGAAATTAGGAACTTGTACGTTCCCGGATGAACTGAATGGCATTGGTTCCAATAGACCATCACCCAGAAATATAAGCAACGTTCTCTTTTATCAGGTGAGATATATATTATATATGAGAGCACGTCACTGGATTTCATTTGAGTTTACTCACTCTCATGATAACTGTCGTGTGGCTAGGTTAAATCCAAGATCAGTTCAAGACGGCTCAGTGATATGCACGCCCATTTTGGTCAGGTAAGGGATCTTTCTTTTAAACTACCGTCTCTCTGGTGCTTGCCTTGCCTTGTCGTGTCTCTGTGTCTCTGTGTTGTTTTGCTTTGCGTTCCTTGGTTTTGGTTTTTTTCGGTTTTACTGTCTCCCTGTACAGGTATAGTTATCTTGCAGTTTTTCAGTTGCTTATTTTCCATTTCTTCATTCACAGTTCCTCGCTCACGATACAGATTTTTCCAGTCCATTGCCGCGTTTTGAGTTTGATGGACAGCTAAATGACGTTTGGTTGCCTATTTCAGTACCAAAGGTGCGTAAGAAAAAAACACAATGCAAATATTTCATTCGACTGATATTATTCAGTACTACATTTTCATAATTTTAAAAGTTCATAAATTTTAAAAAATGCCAAATTGCAAGTAATTTGAACTCTAACGCTAAAAACATGTGTATATCCTAAGGAGTCTTTGTAAATTAGCTAATTGGTCGTTGTGATTTTAGGGAGATGTTCACTTTGACCAACGTGATAAAGGAACAGAGTACCTCTCGTTTGTTCGTTCAACATTCAACAGGTAAGGACTACAGCCACTATCAGTTAACCAGGAATGTACGTACCTGATGCATGTGCTGCACTTGTAGATGTACTGGTAGAAACCATGGTACTCCACGCCAACAAATCAACAAGATTACTTCGTACATTGATGGTTCTGTAGTGTATGGAGACAGCGAAGGTAGAAATGCTCACCTCAGAACCAAACAAAATGGAAAGATGAAGCTTACAAGAAATGGAATCATACCGGTAATGATCTACTTATCAACAGTAACAGCGAAAAAGGCGAAGAAGACTTAAATTAACAAGTCATTAAAAGAAGCTTAAGACACTAGCATGCCTCATCTGCTGCTGGCCCATCCTACTGAATTTCCAAGTTTATATTAAAATGTATTTTGAAATTATAATCAAAAGAGCACTAAAAGGAGAACTGAGATAAGAGTAATCGGTTAATAGTGTTTTAGGAGGGTGCGACTAGATTGTTCAATGGGCTGGCAATTCGAAAGTCGTTACGACGCCTTAGGAACATTCCACCCCACTACAGTAAATCAGGCCCGGGTCTGCGGGTCCACTGACCTTTTCATTTACCAAATCTAATCAGACGTCTGATCTAAAAATGCCTTGTTCAGTGGTATTGAATATAGTTCTAACCAGTTGCATGCATTACTTTATCATATGTCACATGTTATACTTCGATCTTTATATTTTTTGTATATTTTGATCTTGTGTTTGACAGTCTAATTCAATGGGAATCGCCAATGACAATGTGGTTGGTCGTGATGCCTCTAGACTCCTAGTTGCCGGCGACACACGAGCTAACGTACAACCAGGTCTTATTGCTCTACACTCATTGTTTGTACGTGAACATAACCGACTATGTGACGAGTATCTGAAAACGCATCACAAGGTATTATAAATGTTGATTTGAGCGCCTAAACTAGTTATGGGGAATATACATTCATTGTAACTGTAACTACAACCTTATTCAAAAATCTTTGTCATCTCCAAACACTATAGGCAATAGGAGATAGGCGAAAAGCGAAGAATGACTTGTGTTTCTGCTTCTTATTCTCGTCAAGAACATGGACCTTGGTGTTGAGACTGATTCAATGTTCTTTGTATTCAACGAAACCATTTCCATG